TTGCAGACTTCATCGTATTGCATCTGCAATGAGCTATTTTATGGAAGATTTGGTTCACCCCAGTAAAAGCCTTTACTGTTCCCAGAAAAACTCCTGCTCATCGCCCAAACATACAGTAGCACAACTTCCTGGTCAAGTTGAATCCAGTCAATGTGAAACGTCCAGATAAGTATAAAATTTCACAAGTGAAGTGATGTGCAAAATTTCGGCTCAATACGACGAATACTCCAATCAATGTGAAATAAGAAAGCAGGAAATGTAGGCGCGAAAGCAATGTGGCTAATGATGATTTTTCTTCACTTCCCATTTCATCGTGTTGCAATGCCCACTCCGCCAAAGCTCAAAGGCCGAGGAGAAGCAACATGAGCTTGACGCGTATCAACGTGGTGACGATTGGAAGCTCGTGCCAATTATAATGGACTCTCCGAAACCACGGCTTGGCGTGTGGTTGACAGCGGGCGCACCGAGCTGAAACCGCGTGGCTGCCACCGAGCGTCGCAAGTAAAAGTCACTCCGGATGTCGTCGCCGCGCTCGAGCGCTACGTGAAAGATAACTACCAATATCGCTTGCTGAGATGAAAGTGTTTGTTGCCGCCGACTTTGCGGGCAAGTTCGTATCCATACAGACCATAAGCCGCCATCTTCTGGGTATGGTATATACTATGAAATAAGTTGGCATCGAGCCGGTCACATGCAACAACTACATCAACAAGCAGAAGCGGCGGGAGTTTGGAGCTAACTGTAAGCTCAAGCAGCATCAGCAAGACGGTGACTTTATCGTGTATTACGATGAAATGAACTACAATCTCTACTGCAAGCGCAGCCGCGGACGTTTCAAATGGGGAACTCGAGCGTCGACAGTCCTGCCGCCATCGAAGGGGCCGAATATGCAAGTCCAGTGCGCTGTTTCTGCCGAGCTTGGTCTTGTCTGCTATCGTCTGGAACGAGGCGTCATCAAGATGGACAAAAACTCAGCCTATGTCGAGACGATCTACGAGTGCTGGATGGCAAGAACACTTCGCGGGAAAGCGCGTTTTCATCGTGTTGGACAATGCACCAGCTTATTCAGAAACGGAGGAACGCGTTGTCCAGTGCGATGGCATGATGCTTTTGCGCCTTGGGTCGTATTCCCCTATGCTGAATCCCATTGAGAGTTGTTTCAGCGTCCTCAAGTCTCGCATCAAGGGTTATCTGGCGCACCACACGGCCCTCATGTTTGAGCGAGGAGAGTACCGCACCTTCCTTGAGCACCGAATGGTCCTACACGAGGACGTCGCTCACGAATCCATGCCGTGCATCACACAATCGTTGGTGATTCTTGAGGCGTTGTTTTCCCAAGAGAACGTCGATTCGCATTTAATGCGTAAATCCACTTAAGTGCGTGTCCGAAGCACATATCCAGCAAATATTTGTCCGGTCGTTATGGTATGGTTTATGGCCAGTACTGTATAGTTCATATTGAATGTGAAAACTTCAACTTGAGATGTGAAACTGTTTGTTTCGTTCAAAATTAGTGTCTTTTTCGACGTTCGGAACGCGTGCCATTTCAAATTGGCTGGAAAAACCATTCAACTTGACTGGGAAGTGCTGCAGTACAGTCTGACCTATAATAATTGAATTTGTTTAACTGTAAAGCGATTATAATAAAAATCTGGAACAAAAAAGAACGGGGGTCTGAAGGGGCCAATTCACCCATTACTACAGTACCGCACCTCCATCTAAGAAATTTCTAAACCAATGAAATCGATGGAAATATTTCATAGGCCAATCATAGAGCAGTTAATGTCGACAGTAATTTGGAACGATTGGGATTTTGATTTGTCGACAGTTAATCGAACAGAGAAGTATTAAACTGTCTGATTATCACCCACTTTGAAAGTTGTCCTGCTGCAAGGATTGATGCCCCATACTTTATCTCATACGAAGTACTAAATTATCAGATCAGGTAATATTGAAGGATGACCAATTGAGTTTGGATTATCATGAACTACAGTAGTACTAGAGTACTACCGTATACCCCCCGCTTCAGTACCTATGAAAATGTCAGTGAAATCTCATCACAACCGGTACAGCTCCAAGCGGTACCTTGAAACTATTCAGGCATGCGCATTGGTCTAAATCCATCACAGGACTTATATTTCATTGGATGAAAGTAATTAACGCATGGTGATTGGATATTTCTGTCCAATTAGAGACAATTAGATACACGCCCAACCGGAACCATGAAAATGTACAGGTCCAACCGGAGAAATCATAGGTACTGAAGCGGGGGGTATACGGTAGTACTACACTACGTTGCCATATACAAAATCCAGTACTGTAATTGCATCAATTTCCTTACTGTGGTAGTAGCAGAGCTGTTATGTTAACGATGAATATGATCAATATTCCGACCTCACTTAGTATTTGTATGCTCTAATTTTGGCCAATGAATCGTCTCTATTATCTATTTCTACGTATCATATTGTAGTAGTAACTTACCCTACACCATTTTGACCAATCAAAGTCCATTAGGGGTAGGGCTTACACAATTCTGTCGGCTCCAACACATTCCGACGAATTTTGTCGGAATGGAATCTGAAATATCCTGGCCTCACATACAAATTCAAATGCAGCGATAGTTAACCAAATAGTTCGACATTTTCCGACATTTCGGCAGTTAACTAACTCCTAATCAGGTTTGCTAAACATAGGAATGCGATATCCGTCATAAGGAGGCCGCTGCTCATTGTAGTCATGTTTACACGTGAGCAAGTGGCATTGCACCTTAGTTCATGTTACCCTCACCATACATACGAAAGACTTTCCCTACGGCCGCAGTAGGTCTTCATTCTAGGTGTATATGTAAGCCCTTACGCTTTCACTGTTCCTACTTATGCTACTTATGGGTATCCAATAGAATCGTTGTCGGAATGGGATGTCGGAATGAGTATCTTGTCGGAATATTGCTATCGTTAGCACAAATTGTGCTTCTGTGCTAGATGCAACAGCTATGTGGTACTAGTAGCAAGTACTATACACAGTAGGTCACAATAGCGACACGCATGTCTCGAACAGCGTACTAAGGCCATGACTGGTTGGTACAGTACATTCGCTGCGAGTCGACGATTATCTGCATAGTTCAACACCATTGAAACTCCAATATATAATTACTTCGTAACCTTCATAATTCTCTTTAAAATGATAACTTCACTCCTCTGCAGCCTCGGCTGACCACTGATCGACTGTTTCAGCGCAAAACTTTGACATTTTTATTGCCCAGATTCAAACTCATAAAACGAATCTATATTCGAATGATGGTTAAAACGGGGAATTCGACACAGCTACTTTTACGTAGTGGCAATTTGAACTTCTCCAGATATGGTCGAATGAATGCAGCTCAAAATCGGCTGATCACTGAACTTTCTGCCCTTTCTCAATTCTACAGTAGTGCATCTAGCTGGTGTCCACAAGTTGGTGACGTTCATGTTATGCCTCGAAGTATTTATCAAGAGGAGGAGTAATAAAATTGTAAAGGTTCCACTCCAAACAATTGATGTGCCAAAATTTATACTTGATTAAAGTATTGCAAACGGGCTGGTCTGTATGTGGATTTCAAGGGAAGTTGGAAGCAGATCTGCAACTACACCTCAGCTATGCTGTCATTTTGCTGCTTCCACAGTGTAGCTACGATATCGAATCTCCGCGACATAGCTAAAGGTCGTAGCTACGTGAATTTAGTTAACAGTAAATTAATACAATCGAGCACTTACTGAACGGAGAAATGTCACATTTGAACTTACCCAACGGATTAACTCTTGGGATTGTACATGCACTCCAAAAATGCATTCTACGTGTGTGGGATAATTCTTGCTTTGTCCCGAGGAGGCGCAGTCTTGTTTTGTCCCGAGGAGGCGCAGTCTTGTTTTGTCCCGAGGAGGCGCACTCTTGTTTTGTCCCGCGGGGGCGCACCCACCATCGCCAACACGATTCAGTTCTCATTGGTCATGCTGCTTCATCGAACGCCCCACTCTACACTTGCATCATCCGACATGGTCCCAACATTGGACGACGCAGTATCGTACTGTGCAGCCACCACTTGCTACCGTTTTGCCAAAGACAGCGGCCTATGCCTCCTCCACGCAGCTACCACACAGCAGCATGCCACCTCGCTGCGTCAGTACCACGATTCCTCTGCTACCACGTCGCTCCAGACGCCTCCGCTAACATCTGTCACCACTCCCCGTCATTACCATGACCTCACAAGGTACCTTCCCTCCAAATCCTCCAGTGGCCGATCGTCCCCACACTCGGACGTTGTTCGCGTCAGCTGTAAACTGTGCCAGGTCGACCAATGCACCAAGCGCGCCAAGTCCAGGGGTCTTTGCATATCGCATGGCGGAGGGAAACGATGCGTCATTGATGGGTGTGTGAAGAGCGCTAAGGGGGGCGGGTTATGCATCTCGCACGGAGGGGGTAAGCGCTGCCTCAGGGAAAGATGCAACAAGTCGGCATTGCTGGGTGGCTTCTGCGCGCACCACGGCGGCGGCCGCCGCTGTGGACACGACGGCTGTACCAAGTACGCCCTCTCGGGTGGGTTCTGCATTGCGCACGGCGGAGGCAAGCGCTGCAACTTTCACGCATGCCCCAATAGTGCCGTGAGTCGCGGGTACTGCGTGGCTCACGGTGGCGGCCCCCGATGTGCCACCGCAGGGTGCATGAAGGGTGCGGTCACGGGCGGACTGTGCATCAAACATAACGGCGGCACGAAGTGTCAGCAGACCGCGTGCAGAAAGAAAGCTCGCACCAAGGGATATTGCTTTACCCACTTTAAATAATTCTATTTCTGACCTACCATACAAATTTTTAATTGAAACGGATATATATTGTGCTTTCCGAGTGCAACGTTGTCGTGTTAATAGACGGAAAAGGGATCGATGTTGCGTCATTCGTAGATGGGACATACAAGATTCACCACGTAGGTTGCACTTTGGTGGGCTTCGGTGGAAGGACAGCGCACATGGAGAGATAGACCTCGCCGCATTTGTTTCATCCCTGAACGTGCATCTTTGTTCGAGCGGAAAGTGAAGTGAGCTATGTGAAGATGTTCGCGGCTGTGAAGATGTACGCCCACGTGTTCTTCGGCCGTGACATGTGCGGCGCGCTGAAGATAACAAGTCGAAACTCTTCGAACTTGCGTTCGTAGACGAAGTTGTGACACATCATTTGTGTTGGATGCATAAGTGCCGCTCAGACCGTCAGCATGCTGTTGTTTCTTGAAGACAAAACCAGCTACCAACAAGCATGGCACCCAAGAATAGACGGACGAAGACTGCGCGACATCGAGTTCAGCTCATTCGATTACAACGTTTGTTTTGGCAACGCCAACGCTCTACCCGTGACGACGTCACGAGCCAAGACGTACACGGAGTCCCTCCAATGTCACCATCCTCGCGACGATAGGGCGTTGAACATCAAGATCAAGTACTTGGCCATGTACTTCGAGGAAATCGACGAGTCGATCGATATTGAGCCATGCAATAAGAGTCCACTCCGGATGAAACAAGAGGTAAGTAACGAAGTTTCGGCGGATTTCTAATGTATGGTGCAAGTCAGCTAAAGACTACAAAAATATGGGGTCGTTCTTAGTGCGTATTAAGTCTAGGATTTATGGAAACCACGCATTCAAAGCCATAAGATCCATAGAGGGGCGGTGTACTTCAAACCCCCAAATATAGGTGCATTGTTTAAACCAAACGGACTACCTAATAACAGTACACTTTAGGTAGTGCGAAAATGTGAAATTGGCGAAATATGTACTATTTAAGGAAATTAAAATAGGTAATTTGTTTTGACACAAGTAAGTTTAACTACAACTTTCTAGAAATACCAGCCGCGCATTTTGCCGCCAAAACTGTGGCTCACTTCACCCCACACAGACTTTTATCAATCCATCACTTTGCAATCTGCATTAACTCCATCATGGCGCCCATCAACACCAACAATGTGCTCATCCGTCTGCAAGAACAGTCCGTCGGTGAACGTTCGTTCCTTGAAGCTTCCTTTGTCGACTACGGCGAGGTAGCTCGACTGAACGAAGAACGGGTCGACGACGTCGCCAACCCGATCTTGGAGAAGTTTGTCAACAACCTTGGACCAGAGGGTATCGGTACTCTGACAAACTTTACCGTACCTGAGTTCGTAACACTCTGGTCCATGGTCACTGACACCATGAGCGCGGCGTGGATGGAGGGCCGTGGTCGCCGTTGTTGAACAAGCCCCAAGGATAGCCTATTCATGGCCTTGATTGTGATGAAGCATTTCAGCACTTGGGACAAACACGCTGCCGACTTTGGCTCCAAAGCACCGACATTTGAGAAACTCATCATGCGAGTTGTCATGGTTGGTGCATTACTTTGAGCTTGCCTGGCCACATCGTATACCATTGAGCCGCTACTCTCATAACCGCTGATCGTTTGCCCGACGATGACCTCCTTGACTGCGACAGGCAGGCGGTTTTCGACACTTCCCGTATGCCCTATACGCTGTTGACGTGAAGTCCCAACCTTCCTTGCGGCCAACTGTACGGTTCGCGGAACAGAAGCACTATCTCAGTGGTAAGCATCACCTGTATGGTTACAAGATCGAGGCGGCGGTCTCACCGGATGAGCGCTGTGTTGCAATGTCCAACGCACATCCTGGGTTTGTGCACGATCTTACGTTCCTGCATACACGCCGTGAGCCGCACACGACCAACTTGACCAAGTCAGCCTGCGAAGCTGCTTTGCCTGACCATGGTGAACTGTCAGCTGAGTACATGACGACATGGGCTTGCCTCGTGGACATGGGGTTCATTGGTGTTAACCATACGCTGCGTGGAATTCATCCGAAGCGCAGCCCGCAGACTGGATTCTTGGACGCCGCTGACGTGGAGCGCAACCTCCGGGTGTCGTCCGACCATGTGGTCGTCGAGAACTTCTTCGGCCGCGTGTATTCCTTCTGGAAGGTGTCCTACGCCACGTTCACATGGGGTGAGAAGATCTATGGAGTCATTCAACGCACGACATTTGCGTTGACCAACTTTCACCTCTCGTTGATACCCGCGCGCGCTGAAGCCGAAGACTACTATGCGTTGGTCATGGTACGCTACCAAGGGATGGCGAACTAATGCAAGCGAAAGCGTGCCGACACTCAGCGCTGCAATCGCATGAATCGCCAGAATCTTATTGCCATGGACCGACCTGTTCGCTACATGCATCGTTGGGTCATTTAGTTTGAAATGTTCAGACCTTGTACAGTTTCCAAAAGAGCGAGTAACTAATCAGTATGTCAGTCTTTTCGTATTTTTCTGTGTTAAAAGTAAATTTGTTTGCATAAATTCAGTTATAATGTGTATTTGGTAGCTGCCGCCAAATTCGAAGCAGAGTGAATACTTTTGATGTGGCTGAGTCAAATGGAACTTTTTCAGTTATATTGTGTCACCAACTGGTTTAAAGACTTAGTACATGAAGGCTATGCGTGATGTGTGCAAAGATCGCATTCCTGCCTTTTTAGACGAATACCGCTGGCGCAGTTGGTATTTTGCCCCTGGAGCGAAAGGAAAGAAGTACTTCAAAGGACTTGTCCTAGGAATTCGCCATACATTTATGGTCAATAAATTTGTGTTGAAGTATTTTGGTCAATATTGCCCAAAATACAAATATATTTAAAACACACCCAGCACATTTAAAATGTCCACAGGGCATCATCTACACTAGTGCCCAATGCGGAGCCCCAGAACCGCTTAGGTGCGACTTCGTTCGCACTTAAGACCTCGGGTAAACGCCAGCATTATTTTAAGTATTAATGCACCGTTCATCAACAACAACATCAATATTTTGAATAACCCTATTTCATTGGATCCTTTTTGTACTTGTTGTGATTCTTATCCTAAATCCTTGATTTGGCACGATGAAGATTCTGATTTTCTCAATATTGTTTTTTTGTAGACGATTTTTGTCGGGTGACTTCGGCGGATGAGGTGAGTTGGCAGAATGTATTGGGGGGATGTATGGCACTGATGTTGACGATCAAGTTGACACTACCATTGTGTGATTATTCAAACAGTAAATATGGGCAGCGATAACAAAATAACCCACATATTTTTATCGCTGCCTGTATTTAGAGAATATACAACAAAACAGCTATCCCCCACGACACATCACTAAAAGCATGCAGGGAAATATGAGGATAATTGACCAAAATTTTCAATGATAAAGAACTCGTGTAGAATCTGCATCTACCGTTGCAGTAAATGACAACGTATAATTACATTGTACCAAGTTATAGAGGTTTATTGGACTTGAAGAGATATCATATATAGTAGTAATTTTAAACACCAATATTGAGATATCCTTCATGCACAAATATATGTTCTATAGAGGTTGGATTTTGGCCAATGAAAATTTATTGAGGTTTTGATTGGATGACAAAGTCGGCCCATCAATGGACATTCGGTCCATCAATGGTCGGTCACGTTACCCTTGAAGTTATGGGACAAAAACAGTCAGGAATGATGATTGATTTTCTCTGTGTTTCCTTATAATTTTTATATAGCTATATCCTATTTGTAGTAGAATTATCCACATACAAAGGCGTAGATCAAAATAGGTGGTACCGAACAGTAAAAATGTCAGTACTATAAACAGATAAAAATTGTACGTAAGTGGTAAAACTATCAATCATTTTCGCCCGGAGGTAGTACTACGTAGTAGTGCACTACATTGTAGTAATACCGTTAACGTTAGAAGTAAGCGATGAACACAGGAGGAGTCTGCGCCCAAAGCGTAAGCGGTATTCAATAATAAGTTATATTAATAATACCAGGTCCGAAGCCTCAAAAATGTCACATGTAGGTGGCATCCGACATCAAACCGACAAATTTGAAGTCGGTGATTGGATAACCGACAAACTATTGAATTTTGATTAGACAATCCGATTGGGCGATATGGTTGTCGGTGTGAGCAACATATCGCTCACATTGAATATATACGGCTTGCTATTGGCTGAAAACACAGTCCTATCGAAATACTCCAGAACACATGACCTCGACTCAGAATCCCAAGAACAGAAATAAACGGAGCAGAGCGAGACAAACAAGGTGACGAATTTAGGCTAGTACGAGTACAGAGAAGTAGCTGCTGTGCTTGGTGTATGGAATCGAAAACAACGTCATTAGACAGGCTGCACGATCGTCCACCGACCCACACGGCATGTTCATCTCTGTGAATCCGTAGGAACGCGGTGTTGCCAGGGCCACTGGACTGGGGCACGAGGCAGTTTGTGTTCCGGTGGTTGCGTTAAACAACCACTTTAGTAACAACTTCACTGACACACCAAGTCGCAAATCGGAGTTATGATGGACAGTACATACGACATATTTATCGACCTTGCTAGTGAAACTATACATCACTCGGGGCTATTCATCGCTGAGCCGACACCACTTAAGCTCGCCAACCTGTCGTCCCCGACACCGTGATCACGTTGATGAACTGTGTAGTCATCAGGCGAAATGGCCGTGCCACAGTTGGGACGTGTTGCCGATGGTAAGCTCACGAATGATCAGTACACTGCAGCACGCTGACCGTGGTGTGGCCACTAAAGCGAGGGGTCGCGTCAATAACTCGAAATTGGTGACGCAACCCAAGAGCACGTCGACCACGCCACGCTCTTTTTTGTCCAACGTACCGCGTATCTTCATTATGGTGTCTTTAACTGTACCCTTTCTAGATTCCTCCTTGGAAAATTGGAAATGCAAGCGATTGCAACATCGCTGGAGGTGACAGGGTTTCTGTCCCCCATGCCTCCATGGGACACAGCAAGAACTGCGGTCAGGCCGCAAACGCAACTTTAGGGTGCGAATCCATGTTGCAGCTTCTGCATGCATTACATGTGGCACCCGGAGCCACGCCGTGTGCCACGTGTATTGTGTGCAGAGGCTCCTCCTCACAGTTCATGTCCTCACCTCGTCAGAGACTTGAAAAAAAACAACATACGACATTTGGTCTTTGTATTGAAAATGATGAGTCATCTACCAATGAAAGGTACGAAGTATTGAACTTTTAACCAATAAGACTAATGTCGGATAGAATTGTCGTATTCGCCAAGTTATCCATACATAGCGTAAACAATCAATTTAAGACGCATCCGAGGAAGGCGGCTGGGGAGAACTTTCAAAGCTCCACGCTCGTTCAACATTTTTTACCTCTGAAACTTGGAGATTGTAGGTGGATTAATGGGAAACAACCTCATACCAATTATATTGGGTACTAGTGAACGTGACCCGGCTTCGCACGGGTGGGGGTGCGTGTGATGTGAATTAGTGTTGGTTGTGGTTTGACTTGGGATAATGTAGCATTCACGGCTACATCTTCCTGATTGATTCAGTTGATATAATTATGTGATTGGTCAAAATTATGTTCTTTGCTTTCAGCCAATCAAAACGTGAACTTGACGCGGCTTTGCACGGGTGGGTGCGTGTGATGTGAATTAGTGCTGGTTGGAGTAAGTTGAAGTTGGGTAATCTAGCATTGAAGGCTACCGAGCTAATGCCTGTAAAATCCCCGTAATAGCGTATCCAACTTCCCTTCTATTTACCATAAAAAACTGTGCACATGATACCCCGTTGGAGAACGTTTGATGCAAATTCCCCGGGGGGTTACATGCAATGCAGGGGTTTGCGCCAGCAAACACCTGCATTGCATGTTAACCCCTAGTCCAAACGTGGTTGACATTCCAGCCAAACATATAATTGTTGAAAAGTGAAATATAGATATGTTTGCTTCTGCAGCTGCGTAGGGTTTCTGTGTTTCTTAATTTTTACCACTGTGAAAATTGCGCTTGCTGGTTTTTCCTGGGTCGATTTGCATGTGAAGTCTTTATATGGATTAAAAATTTAACACTGTAATTTTGACAGTATATGTGTTTAAAGAGTATACATCGATTTAAAAAAAGCGCTTTTGAATTGGACAAATACTTCGGCCAATAACATCCCCGGACTCCTCGATGGGCTCGCCCACTGTAAATTGGAAATATATATGTACATACACAGTTCAAGTTATGACTTCGCTGGATATGATGTCCCGAGTCGATTTGCCAGTTTTCATTTTTAGTATGGAAATATGTATGTGCATAAAAAAGTCAAGACATGACGTGGCTGGCTGAGATGTCCCGAGTCGATTTGCCAGTTTTCATTTTTTAGTGTGGAAATTTGTATCCACATACAAAAGTCAAGTCATGACGTGGCTGGCTGTGATGTCCTGAGTCGATTTGGGGTTTTAGTATAGAAATTTGTACGGTACATAAAAGTCAAGTCAACTCAATGGTGATTTGGTACTTTTCACTTTTTAGTAAAGAAATTAGTATTGTATACAAAAGTCAAGTCAATGACGTGGCTGGCTGTAGTCGCATCGTTTGTTTTGCCTCGTTCCTGATTAGTCGATTGGATGCATCCTGAGACTATAGCTTTGATGATTGGTTGAATTATGGCCTTGGAGCGAATTAAAACGCAGTATTTTGCCTTTGAACGAATCAAACAGTAGGAAGTGTTGATTTTTGGCCAATCAAATGGCTGGAACGCACACACGTGACAGACAGACATACTTACTCTTACTTTATATTTCGAAGTATATATAGATCGGTTCATTTCCAATGACTTAATCAACAAAACCCAAGCAAGTTTAATCCAAATTTGACAATCAATTTACGACGTACATTTTTATCTTGAATATCGTATACCTATTTACATATAAGTTTTGTGGTTAGGTTATCAAATTATAGCAGGAAGCAAATCAATTTCCACAGGCTATGCATTCACAAGTGTTCCATATTCCATCATTCCATTTTGAGTTGGGAATCCAAAGTGGTGCTTTCGGAGAATACATTGAGGTACAATGCATCAACAAATATATCGTTCACATTCAATAGCTAGACTACGACCGAATCCACAAGCAAGAAAGGCCCCACTACGCCGTCTCCGGGCTCTAGGGAGCGCCGTCGGTGGTCCCCGTCGCTAGGCTTGAGTGACGACTCCTGCTTTGTCCCGCAGAACCACTTTCATCAACGTTGCGTATGGGATGCGTGATTGCTTAGACACCGTCCTGCCATTTTCACCGTCAACAACGTGTTGAA